TTTTTTGTGTAGTGTTCACTGTTTGGGATCCCCACCTTATGGTTTAGGGAGGGGATTTGGAAGTTTAGGTTTAATGTTGTAGGATTAAATTTTTAGGTTTTATTGCCCTGGGTTCAGGGTTTAAGCTTCAAGGTGTTGGGTTCATTTTCTTGGCTCGTGGTTAATGTTTTAGAGTCTATTTTCCTGAGTTGAGGTTTTCAGATTCAGCGTTTACTTTGGAGGTTTCGGGATTTTTATTGACTGATGGAGGCTTGAGTTTTAGGGTCACATGTTTATTGTTTACGGTGTAAGACTCACGGTTTAGCATTCAGAGTTCAGGTTCCACGGTTCACGGTTCATGTTTTGGGGTTTAGCTTTTAGGGTGTACGGTTTTGGCTTTAGGCTCCAGGCTCCACGGGGCCTGGATTCACTATTTAGCGTCTAGTGCCTAGTACGTAGGGTGCATGGGTCAGGATCTATAATCCAGGGTTTATGCTTACGGTTTAGGATTTAGGTATAGGGTTGTGGGCGTCGTCCTAGAGTTGAGGCTTTACGCGTTGTCGTTTTCTGCTCTAGTCGTTATAGGTACTCTTTTTCATTATTATACATATTCAGTTATTTGAACGAAATGTGGTATTGACATATCTGTAGACATCGCCTCATGTCATGCAAATGTGATAGTGTTGCAATTCCAAACAAGAACCATACGAGAAATTCCACGTTTATGTGATGTATTAAGACTATTCTGCTGTATTGGGATATACTGCTTCAGATATTACTAGTATTGTCATCTTAAATGTAGTGCCCTCCCCTATTTTATTTGTTGCACTATATAATGCAAACCTACAAATGTATTAATGCATCAGCTGAGGTGTTAATAATAATACACTACCCCGTATATTTCCCCTTACACATATATTTCCTTCGTATGTTATCGTAATGATTTTTTTCCTTTCCAGGATTCGTATGTTCAGGGTCTTGGATTTTATATCTTAATTCTTAAGGAGGACACCCCAGTCGTCAGATAAGTAGAGGTAACTTACTTGGTGAATTAATCCCTCCTCTTTTTATATTAAGACAATCATAGTAATAAAGAATGACTCTTCTGGAGTTGTAAATTTTCCTTGCTTCGATAAATTTATAATATAGGATTCAATAGTAAATCTGACTGTAATATAACATTTCAGATGCCTGTTCAGCAGTCAAAAGAGGAAGATGTTTATAATAAGATCATTCTTTCCTTTCTGTATGAGAATTCTTTGCCCCATACAATTTATATGTACATATTACTTTGCCCCAATTATCTTTTGTCTTGAGGAGAGAGGCAGGGGAGCAACAGAGAAGAATATAATTATTACCGCAGACAAAGAATTACAACTGTTGGCATTATAAATTATGGCATTCTTTAGGATATGAGCTATGATGCATAGATGAATTTATCATATTGTGATAACCACTGATATCAAAGTACAAAATGTGGATTAATGCTACGAAGCCTCCTGTCTTTATTTTATAGAGAGACTTGGAATTTTATATTGGAATAATAGAAAATCTGAATAAGTATATGGATTCATCTATATAGGTATCTACATATCTGTAACTATTGCTGCAC